GTGGTTATAAAAAAGACATTTGTCGAGAAGAAACGACAAATTTCACTTTTAAAACTGATATTCTGAACGCAATGAACCGTACAAATATTAACTGAATACTAAGATTTTGTCCCATATCATGACTTATATCATAAGTCCCATATAAAAAAGAATTAAACAAACCATACGCCAGATACAATTTTAGATACCTTATTGCTAAGTACTGAGGACTTTCAAAACAGAAGTTATCCCACATTAAATAGGGTGGTTTCCTACATTTTATTTGAATGTCCGTCTGATAGATTATATTAAAACATTAGACACGTATTTTTTCTTTTCTTACAAAATTAAATTCTTTCGACGATATATTAATTCGAAATATCGTGTGACGTCACAGTGTGCCAGATTTTGTAGCACGGTATTATGTAACGACCTACTCCTAAATTTAGCGCCATTTTATCTAAGTATAGCAACTTAATACGAGAAAATAAAAAATACTTGTCTAATATTTTTTTCATTAGGAATCTAACTGACGGACTAATTAGATTTTTAATTTTGATACCCTGGAAACTACCCAATTCAAAACGTTCCTTGATAGTCGACCAATGAAGCAATCATATGATACTTACAAATTATAATTAGCATATCACATAATACACATTATCAGTAGACACAACACTATGTACCCATATATAGACGCACCCTATACATGTGGGACACCGTGGGAAGGGACGAGTTATCTCAACAGTTATGCAAAGACGGAAAACTGTATTTAAACTTTTATTTACAATTGTTTTTAGTGTTCCTTTGTAAGTTTGTGGTTTTTTTAACCGTCTGTGTTAATTTATGGTTATTAGACCTTCAATTATTTTATGATGAATTTACTTAAGTAATGTTGGGATACACTATCGCTCTATCTATAAAATTACAAGTCTCGGGAAATATCGGAAATAATTCGACTGCACGGTTGGCGCGGTGTTTGGGCAACTGACTGCCGCGCAACGTGTCGCGGGTTCGATTCCTGCACTGTACTACTATTTGTGTGATCCACAGATTGTTGTTCCGGATCTGGGTGTCATGTGTATGTTAACTCGTATTTTTGGAAACGCACCCACGACACAAGAGAAAATCAGAGTGTGGGGCAGTCTTTAAAAAAAAAATTAAAAGTTTTCGGTATTAACATGAGAATGTCTTTTTCATCTTTCATCTGCCTTATCAACAGGTTTTGTTAATTTATAGTTATCTTTAATTCATGAAACTTTGTCCCACTTTAAGATAATCAAATTTATTGTACCTCTAGATACTCTTACAAATATTTGTTTTAATTGTAGTATTTGTATTACAAAATCAGTTTTATCAATCTAATACAAAAGACTTAAACGCGCGATCACAATAATCATAAGTTACAAAAACTGTTATTTTAAGCTTTTAATAGAATATTCATAAATAGTCGCTGAATATTTTTACTAACACTGTAGCTAGCATAATAACCAAGGCTTTGTAAATTAAGTCTGTCCATCCCCGATCAATGTTCATCATCGTTATTATATATGTATTATGTAGGTATGTTTGAAAATTTCATGGTAATTCTTTGAATAATTTATTATGTTTTCGGCTTACTCACGTAACTGTTTGACGTCGACTTGTTTCAAGCTATGCTAGAGGCTCATATTCATGAGCAGCATTCCGCGACCCGCGACGCGGTGAGTCTGCTCGACTCTGCGGCGGTGAATTTAGTTTTAATCATCACGAAAGTTTTAATACAAATGATTCTTTAAATAGATAAAATGTAAAAAAGATAATAAGCTTACTTACATATAGCTTATGTTACTTATATACAGCTCACTAGCCGCGCCCGCGATTTCGTCCGCGTGGAATTATGATTCACAGCTCCACCCCCGTCGTTGATAGCATGATAATATGTAGCCTATATTTTGATCCGACCTGTTAGTAATATTCATGCAATATTTGAAGTAAATTCTTGCAGCAATTTTTGAGTTTATCCCAGACATACAAACAGACAAAAATTCTAAAATCTATATTTTTGGTTTCGGTATCGACAGTAGATCACACCTAAAGCATTCTTTTAAAAAAATATTCGATGTACAGTTTTCACATTCCTACGATTTTATTATAGAGGTATGTATAGTTGGGATTTATATTGTTACATTTTTTGATTCCCATATATACATAACATAACATCACGCCTGCTATCCCCGAAGGGGTAGGCAGAGGTGTACACAGAAGTAACACCCACTTTTCACTATTTATGTTATGAGTCCCATGTATATGAGTGGTGAGCCTATTACCATATACCGGGCACATTTCCAGACTCCGTGCAACTACTGAGATATTTTTTTAACCCAGTAATCCCATATAGAATCCTCACATAAAAATATCAACTCACTCTTGACCATACCAAATTGAGAACATACACTACAATGATAAGGAATGTTTGTCCACAGCTAAATAGTCGTGTTAGCCTCGCCCTTAAACTATGTACTAACCAAACAAAGACGAAATTAAATATTACATACCATGCCCTATTTGTAGTTCTTTTGTTTCACTTTCTTGAGTGAAAAGGACCAAATTGATGGGAGAAAGTTTAGTCGTAAGGATTTTTCTTATATCTACTGTTTAAACAGATAAATTGATATAATTTAAGTGTGATAGAACCATGCTTCGCAACGGCTCGGCACACCGGAGTGATACCACGGCCTCACAGAAAACCAACGTGAAACAACGCTTGCGTTGTGTTACGTCGATTGAGTGAGGTTTCCGGAGGCCCAATAACTCCTCCCCCCTTCCCCAGTCTCCCCAATGTCTAAATTTCCTACAGTCCTCAATTCCTAATACCCAAAAAAACCCCGTTATTGCATTTGTAACGCCTCTGGTGTTCTGGGTATCCATGGGCGACGTCGATTGCTTACCTTCGCGTATGCTCGTTTACCGGCTTTGTCCGTACAAAAACTAACAGGGTAACATATTTTGTTTATACCTGTTAAAAAAAACTAAAACTAACAGCCAGTTTGTCTATAGGGTTTTAGTGCAATTATTTAAAAAAAAAGTTTTCAGTACCATTAATCCCATTAACGCCATATAGTAATAAACATCTAAATCCAATTAATATTAATTTAGTTTAAAATCTCATTCCTTAACAAAACTTTATTTTACCACAAATCACAAAAATAACAGGCCAAAAAGAAAAAAGAATAAAATACTACATGTTCCATTTTTAAATATCAATCTGGTCAAAGATCAAGTAATAAATGTTAACAGACAAGACGGGGTAAAACCGAAACGTTGACATAACACATACTTACATAGATGTAAAAAACACGTGCGTAGTTTATCAGTGTCGATCGGGCGACAGTCGCGTACATCAGATTCGTCAAGTACCTACGTGAGACCACAATTTTATTTAATCTATGACACTTCCTGTCATGCCTCATCTAGTTCTATGATTTGTATTTTATTTTTTTGGAGCTGTATAGTTTTATGGCTGTTCTGTCACGATGTTCTTTTTTTGTAAAAGATTATTTTTAAATATTGTTACCTACTTACGGTCTTATAGTCTGTAAGTACTTTTAATTATTAGTTTAAGTTTTCATTGTCTTCTTCTTGTTTGTTTGTTCTCTTTTTTTCTGTGTCATATGCTGTATTTATTTCTCGTCTTGCAGGGCTGCAGGAAGATATCCCGTAAGGGATATGCAGTACCTATGTACATACCTCTGTTTTGTTATAATACATATTTTTTCTGTGTATTGTCTGTGTTGTGTAAATGAATAAATAAATAAATAAAAATAAATACTTACAATCTTTTAGGTACAATTACGGAAAAATGCTAAACATTACAATAAATACGTTTGGTTAATGCTAACGCGTAAAAAGAAAATTATATTAAAAATTAATAACTAAATACAAAGAAAGAATTCACTGTGAAAATGGAAATATGCCAAGTTTATTCGTATAATGAAAGATATAGAAAATACAAAAAGAATTCATTACACCTGCATACCATAGTCTTCAGAAACTCCACCACACACCAACAGCAACCGTTCGAAAAATAATAAAACACTTCCATATTAAATTTCGAAACTCCGTAAAATTCCATACAGCGCCAGCGTTCCAACGAGAACAATTCACTGGCACGCAGGGCGAATCTCATAACTTTTCCACCCAGACTTAATTATAAAATCGTTCCAAACATTATTGGAATATTAGCTACCGACGAAGCGAACAAATTGTTTTATCCAAAAACTATAAATTGAATAACACGATACCATCAGTAGCTACTATAGAATGAATACATTCACAAATAAATTAATTAATGTGACTTTAATTATGAGAATAGACCAATTAGTGGGACATAGTGGTGTGACGTGTTTAATAATATTGTATTACTAGCTATTGCCCACGACTTCGTCCGCGTAGAATATGAATTTATAACATTTATAAAAATTTATGACATAACATTTTTTGTTCCAATTTTCCAAAATAAAAGTAGCCTATTACATAGTACAACAGCTACCTGATAACAAATATCTTGCAAAATCGATCCAGCCATTACAGAGATTAGCCAATACAAACAGACAGACAGACAAAAACGTTATATTGGTACGTGTATCGTGTGTATATTCACAGGCATGTAGTAAAAGGCAGTTATGTTAATATTACAAACAGACACTCCAATTTCATTTATCTGTATAGATGTGTGATTCATTAATGTTAAAGTTGCCATTTTGTATAATTAGATGGTTATTTATTTGTTGATATTTTTGTTATAAAGTCCTTAAACACGACTATATAGAGTTTTAAGTTTTAAATATCTGTCTTAAGTGCGATTAAACTATTGCGTTTCAATTTTAGTCTGTTAAAAATTTTTGGTACGTATCATTAACTAATAACTGGGCAGGAACAAAATAACCAACCAAAACAAGCCTTTATTACGTAACCAGTATGGTTGATTTTTAACCTTCATCTTTTCAAAGGTACTAAAACAATACCATTACACATTACAGTTCCCGAGACAACATGCTGCCAACACACGTGAAGTTGAGCTCATCTCTCACCTGTCGGCTCGTGGGAGGATTGACCAGAGAACAAAGATCCGTCTGCCACCAAGCACCCGATACTGTCGCCATAGCCTTCGAAGGTCTACAATTAGCGGTCAAGGAATGCCAGCATCAGTTCCGTTGGCACAGGTGGAACTGTTCCAGCCTTATGACCAAGAGCAGTAATCCTCATAGCAGTTCTATTATGAAAAGAGGTGAGTTGTAATCTGCCATTTGTCTGTGAACGTAAGGTCTTTTATTTTGGTATTTTCAGGTCAAATTCATTATTATGCGATTTTTCAGCAAACTACTAGACGAAATTGTTTTAAAAAAAATACTGTTTGCGAATAATATTGTTTCTTTTTTACTCAACTCTTGTGTTTTACCATGAATAAATAAGTAGAATACTATGTCCTGGGACAGATTTATGTAAAACTAAGAAGAAAGGAGTCCCATAAACAAAACAAGGCGACATCATTTGATTATCTTGTCACAGTAACAAAAGACAAATGATCCCCCTTGAAACGATAGCAGCGCCAATGAAAACTTCAAAAGCACAGTAAACATCTTTATTTATTAACCTTTTGTCGTATAAGGACCAATAACATGCTAAGATTATTTTCGTAAACGTAGGTGGTAGCAATCATTGTCAATTAATGCCAAAACCAGTCCCACGTTAACGTAATACCATAATACTCTTTTTATATAGGTATATTAAAATAAACGCAACTAAAAATTTCAACCCAATCGCGATCAACCATTACAATCCGAATTTATTACGACGAAAAATTATTCACGCACATTAAGAGGCCACCGGTGAACGGACATCTCCACGTATTATGCTCTTAATATACGTATTTACTGAATCGTCCGTCTTTATGTCTATCTCCGGGTGTGAAAAGGCTTTGTCGACCTCGTTTTTTCCACAATCATCGCACACGTTGACGTGAAAATTTACGAGCATGGAAGATGGGAGACAACAAATAATAAGTTGGTGGTGGCCAGGTGGGGCCCGCACCCGCGCCCCGCGATTTCACGCTACGTGTGGGTCCCGCCAGCCGGGCCCCCGCTCCACCGCCACTCCCGCCTCGTCCCTCTAGCCTCAACCAATTAATATCTTAACTGGAATTGCCTGGACTCGAGTACCAACGGAGTTACTCAATTTTCTCCACGCCCTTTTATTGCTGTGCGCTTTTTAATAACGGTTCGGAATTCTTCATTAAACTCTATAAGCGTAGATTGGATAATACACAATTTCACAATGAAGTAGAAACATTCACATATCAACCGTAATTGAGTATTTAGTGAAAGATTAAACTTAAGAATGTTATTCAGTCCATTGTATCGTCGACATTATTAGTATTTGTAATACCCGTAACGACACCTTCCGGCCCTTCAGCGACACGACTGTGTTTAAATTGAAAAATTGTGAAAAAAGCAGCGTAACTAAACACTTAAACATCTTTCTTAACGTGGCCATTGTTGGGATCCCGAATTGAAACGCCGACAGGAGAGTGAAACGAAAAAAAGTGAAGAACAAATCGAGATGCTTTTAAATAGGATAATAGCGATCGATGATCGGAGAAGAAAGATAATAATGATTCCGGACCGTTGGCTTTTTTGTCCAAACGTGTAGGATCGATGAAAGAGCGCAGTGGACGGATGGCATTCTGGATAGATCACGGGATTTGTTCCGCTTCCCCGAGATCTTCCACACGTTGTTAGCGCTCTTGTACGTGACGCTGTTACAATATACTGTCAAATATTTAATGACTTTTGTGGGGCTAATGAGCCTATTGTCGGAAAAGTTTTCACCTCGGCCGTTAATAGTTGGATGGTAGATGAGATTAGCGTGAGATGTGTGGGTCGGCGCGTCGGATGTCGGCGGAGTCGCGTGAGAGAATGGCGCGCGTCGGGGCACACAGGGTGGCGAACATGCGTCGATACAAATCTGACGGCGCGAGCGCACGTGACGTGAATTCATGACGCGAATGTGTCATAAAAAAGTGACATTTATTGGCGTTTTATATCAACAACATGTCGTCAGGTGACGAAGTGCCGGCGACAATGTGGTTATGATGTTGCAAAAACACGATGCGTTGTTACGTCTTATCTGACGGCGTGTCGTGGGAACTTAGTCTGCGAGGCGAGATGACTTTATTAAAAGAGAATCAGCCAATTTTTTATGAGTCTCTGTCATGTTAATAATTGTGAGACGAAATATCGCGCTTTGAGTGAGACGTCAAAAATGTGCGGCTATAATTTGCGGTTGCGCCGAGTCCGGTATGTCAAGTCGAGTATCAATAAAGCGCCATCATTGACCTAAAATAACATCTCTTAAAAGGATTTTAGTTAAACAAAAACTTGGACGTGTCGAAATGTCTCAATGCGCTGTAGCTCAACCCTCTAATGGTCGCGATAACATCTTCCTCGGTGCGTTACCGAATCGTGCTCCTTCAGATGCCTCACAACTGTGAGAAAAAACACACAAAAGGCCCATAAAAACATGAATTTGTCCAAAGTTCCCAGTTTTAGACGTGACATCGAGTGGGCTTTTTGTTTGGTTCTTTTTGTTCCCTGTCGGATTATGGACTCGCTTTTAAGGGTTAATTAAGTCAAGAAGAGTATTAGTGATCTTGCGGAAATTTCAAACATGATGTGGGATGATGATGATTCATCGGAATCAATACAATCATGTTGATATTAGCTTGATGAACAATCTGATTGAATTACAAACGTGTTTCTTTTTTATTTTATTTTATTCATCGACTGACATGATTTTATGATTTGATTTGCCTTTAACTGATGACTAACTTAATCTATCAAGTATAATGTAAGCACTGTCGACTGTTAGTGACTCACAGCACTTTAACCAGATTCAGTCACTTCAGACATTCCCAGTATTTTTTTTTCTACATAATACTGTCTTGCACAAACCGCAAATGAGTATCGTACTACTTAAATTACAAAGAGATGTGCCTATTGTCATCTCGTCATAGAGGTATTTAAATGAAACTCCTGCATGTGTCATGAAATGTAAGCATTGTACTACTTTTATTGGCTAATTAATCTCTATATATTACGAAATCAGCTGCAATTTCCTTACCGCATCCTAAAATTGTCAAATATTTTAAGTTTAGAGCTTGGAATTCCTAAATTACTGAATGAATGAAATTGGTTCATCAGAATCTAAAAATATCTCTAAAAAATACACAATTTAATCTTGTTCAACAGAAAGACAATACCGGTCAATGAAAAGCTCATCAAACGATCTAGTAAACATAAACAACATAAAAAAAACAATAAAATCGTGACGTCACACCAATTTGTATATCGAACCAAATCTAATTGCAGCACGTGCGAGCCCTACGGATCGTAAATTAGTCTTAGTGACGTCACAACCGCCTTACCGTCTGGTTTTGGTAATTAGCAATTCGCAACAGAGGCCAAAAGGTACCAAACGGGGCTTAATTGGTACCAAAAAGCTTAATTGGTACCAAAACCCTTGCAGCGTCGAATATCTAGAGGACTTAGGCAGTCTACACACGGAACGTAGCGGTCATCGGACTTCAGTTTTTAATAAAAAAGGGGCCTACATTGATGTGTTGCGTTTTATATGAAGTTGTGAGACTAAAAACTTGATGTGAATTTCACTTTAAGTGTCTTCATTTGTAGTGACGTCGCATTACCATTGTAAGTATGACTGTAGATCGCGGAATTTTAAGTAGATCACAAAATATAGACTTCTATATGTCGACCAGCTACTTATTATCAATTAAAGTTGCGACCTCAAAATCGTCCCCATTAAATCATTATTTTGATACAGAACTAGACGGATACATCCTACTCATAAATACTCACATTTTTTATGGTATAAGCCGATAAACGTATAGACGGTTCACCTGATGGTAAGCAATCGGCGTCGCTCATGGACACCTGGAACACGAACACCAGAGGCATTACCGGCCTTTTAGGGATTAGGAATTTGAGGAGTGTTGGGGATTCAGGGATTGGGGTAATTGGGGAAGGGGGAGGAGGGGAGGAATTGGGCCTCTAATAACCTCACTCACACGACGAAACACAATACGAGCGTTGTGTCACGACAGTTTTCTGTGAGACCGTGGCATTACTCGTGCTGCCCCAGCCCCGGCTCATTCGTTCTGAAACATAGGGCTCCCACGTTTAAAACACATAACCTACAATCAATTCTTTACAAAATAATCTTTAAGTTATATACACATAAGTAAGTTTTAAGTACACTATGGAATGCTCGGTACTATAACTTTATAATACTATCGTAAAATGTAAAAAAGTTCTAATTTAATCCTGCGCGAAAGAAAGAAAAGTTGTTAGCACATTCCTTTACTTGAAGAACCTTACCCCAGCACTATTATTCTGAATGGTAATATAGTTCACATAAATAGACTATATTTACATAATGACCTTAAAAACTTCAATGATGGGCTCAACAGTAAAAGTTTTAATTATTTCCATAAACGTTTGGTACAAGAACACTATGGAAGAAAACTTAGTTATTGCTTCTCAGGATCCTTCGGATTATGGGGCAGTTTTCTGCTAGTTATTTTGTTGCCATTATGATCTCATTATTTCTTTCTTGCAGTACCCTTACAGCTTTAAAGCAAGCACCAGTAGGTACTTACCTAGTGAACTTTTTATGCCTGCCGATCTACAGGGGGTGTATGATTATAATAAACTATTTAATTTTCCACGTATCTTTTGTACAGAGGCCTCACAATTCGACCACCCTGTCATCCATATACAGAACGATAAAAACTTAAGTAATCATTACCAGTAATTGTATGAATAAATACGAAGTATTTCCAATAATTGACAAGTGAAAAACTCAATGGAGTTCATTCATTTTGGCGCCAGATTTATAAGCTATCCAGTTGGAAGCGAGAACCTACACTAAAAACTGTTTTAAAAATCACAAAGTGCACAATCGTAAATCACGCATGATGCGTGAGCATGCGCGTCGGCCGCGCAGCGCGCGCGCATCAAAAACAATGTTACACAACACGGAAAAAGACGACCACCGCCGACGCTGCTCGGAAAAACCTATCATTATGCGCATTCGATTAAATAAAATGTCCTCGTTCGTATACGCTTAAGAATCGGAAATGAAATAAAACGTTCAATGATAAAATTGAAATTTGTATTTACTTAGGCCGTTGATTTTTTGCAAGTCGGCGCC